GCCATTTTAAGTATTTCCAACCTTAAATGTTAAAAAATTATGAGCGAGGCTCACTTAAAAACCATGAGATTGGCTTCAAAATCATGAGATGATGTGATCTGGTGTTTTTTTAATTTGCCGCCTTCTTTTTGAACCTTTAAGGTGCACTGAGGTCACATTTTGAAGCTTTCTCCATAGCTATGAGGGCTAGAAACTGACGGTAAGGCTAGACTGCAAGGCTACTTCAGGATACCGGTGTTATCCCAAAATAGCTACCCCGCGCCCAAGAAATGCATCCGCTTTTTTGAAATAGTGGATGTGCTATTTCAGCATCCATGTAAACCAGTGGTCCCCAACCATTTGGGGTTGCCGGGCGCCAGGTGGCATGGCCGTTTGCCCGCCAGGCGCCCGGGGTTTCTAGAGTAGTGGTCCCCAACCATTTGGGGTTGCCGGGCGCCAGGGGACGTGGCCATTCGTCCGGGGCCGGCGCTGGCGCTCTCTCCCCTCCCTCCCCCAAGCGCCGCACGCCCGGGGCTGGCGCTGGTGCTCTCTCCTCCCCCTCCCCCCGGGGCCGGGGCTCACCGTGCACCACGTGCCCGGCTCCGGCACCATGCATGCGCCATGTGCCCGGGGCCAGGCCAGCCCTGAGCACTTGGCAGGTGCAGACAAATGCCCCCGCGGGCGCCATGGCGCCCGCGGGCACCGTGTTGGGGACCACGGATGTAAACCTTGTTCCATGAGGAATAAGGGATGTCTCGAAATAGTGCTTTATTTTGAACTTTGATGCCGTGTAGACACACCACATTTCAAACTAGCCTATTTTGAAATAAAATTGAAATAAGATACGCAATTTGCGTAGTGCAAATTGTGTATCTTATTTCGATTTTAGAGTGCAGTCTAGACATACCCTTATTTTCTCTTTTAAGAATTAAGGCTGAAATCATCACATAGCCACTTGACTCCAGGAACTGGAGCTTTAAGGAAAGCAATAATTGTCATGAGACTCGTGACGAAACCACAAGAGGAGGCATCACATAGAGTCTGTCTGCAGAACAGTACGTTCAGAAGCTTTAAGCCTTACAAGACCTAGTGTAAATAGAGTGCACTGTTCAGAACCTACATAGGAGTGTGTGCGATGCAAACTTGTGGGAGCATGCTTGTGACAAGCACTTTGTGATTTTTGTGGGAAAAGTACCATAAGAGCTAGGCATTATTGTTCTTTAATAACCTCCATTCCCAGCTTCCCAGCATTGAGCATGAGTGCTGGGCTGATTAGCAAATGATTTCCTGGTGCTTTGGATACATAATGCCCAAATTATACATATTATTTTTTATATTCCAGAGCTGCTGCTATTTATTAGCGACCCTTAAGTGTTTCAATCCAGGTCCTTCTTTCCCTTCCCTATCTAGCTTAATGATTGAATCCAAATGATGGTGCCCTTGTGACAAGAATTTCTGGGACATGGCATGACATGGTATCTTCCTCTACAAACAATATGACTTGATTAATAGTAGTAGAGAGACAGGAACCAGGAGACCAAGGTCTGCTGAGCTGTTGCCCAGACTGCTGTATTTGTGAAGGAAATGACGAGCACAGCATTAGTGGTAGGTCAGTTTCAATTAAAATCACAGGCGGTGTGGGGTGCTGTTTAATATTTAAGAGGAGTCTATCGGGTTAATGGTTTAAGTTAAGGCATCACCGTACTCATAGGACCAAAATCAGCTGTATGGAGCAGTTAAATGCCATGAATCAGGGCAGGGAGCTCACTTGCCTTCAGTGTTGCAAGCTGAGGCCGTTGTCACAGGGAAATGGGCTTGTATTATAGTGACATTAGCATTTTAATGCAACTAAAGAGGAGCTAGATTGACTGTAATTTAGTATCTAGTTCCATGGCCTTGTGCAGTCCTCTCAATGCTACTCCATGGGGGCCAATTGTACTTACATGGTGCACTTTGGAATCTAATTGGATTTACATGCAGTAATGTTTTCATATCACAGTGATGATCCTGCTATGTAAGCGCTATAAAATTTGAGTGCAATTAGTTATTAATACAGTGGCTGCAGTTACAGGATAATGCATGGGGCTGATGACCAGGGTTCCCTCTAATTTTTTCCATCTATGGGCAAAATACATTTTGTTCTGTGCACCAAGGCATGTCAGACATGCACCACCGGTAGAAACACATGCCACTCGCTGTGGGCACTCTGCTAATTTGCTGGGTGGCACCTGAATTTCTCCTGGGTGAGTGCCCACGTGCTCATCTTACAAGGAAGTACAGCTAATGGCCCATGAAGATGCCAGTGCTATCAAAATACTACTTGGCTCTCCTTTTCCTGAAGCCTTTGTGTCTGGCTGAGTTAGTGAATGTTTTAAGAATAAATTGGGCCCAGATCCACCCAAATCTGTCTTCTGCCTTTTCCACCATAAAGACACTGACCTCTTGCAAACATCCAGAAGGCATATGCCCCCTAGCTGCTGTTAGCCCATTGAATGGGCATGTGGATTTGGTGTGTGTCTCCATTACACAACATCCTCCACAGACAGCACATGTGGTGGGGAACAGGGACTGGCAAAAGGTGGTTGCACTGATGATCTGCTGCATCAGGCTGCCTTGTGACCGCATGACCCAATTGCCTGGCCTCACCCCTGCTCTGTGAAGTGTCTAAGAGTCTATGGAATTATATATGGCCCAGATCTACTTTCTCCACCCTTGTGATCTTTCTTCATCATAGGTTTTTTGGATTACTTATTGCTGGTTCCCCAAAGCAGCCACTCCCACTTCTTAACCCCTCTCTCTCTCTCTTTGCTCTGCTTCTCTTACCATTCCCCAAGGGATGTGGCAATAAACTGGTTTATGAGCTTAGCAGTATGTCCTTAATCAAAGATCCTTCCAGGGAACTGAGCTCAAAGCAAAGGCTTGAGAGTGAGGGGGAAGCAGATCTGGGAAACTTGCTGCATTGGTATGAGGAGTTGTGTGACATGACAGGACACTGTCAAATGCGCTCACTAGGACTAGGCAGAGTGGCCTTGACATAGAGCCTTCCGAACAAGGAGCTTCTCTGGCAACCCCTGTGTTTCTCCCAGAAACGCTAAATAAATCTCTTCCTGTTTGAATCTGTTAGGCCCTGTGTTCTACGCTTGCTGTAATTTGCCTTTAATGATTAACTTGAAATAGCTATTAACCTGAAAGAATGTGTTGTCAGAGCCTTCCTGCTCTCCCAGATCACAGAGGGAAGGTGGAGCCTGGTTCTTCTCTGTCACCTGTCACTTTCTTTCATCTCTAGTGCTGCAGCATCAGCGGCTATCTACTGAAGCATCCCAAATTTTCCTCTGTGTAGAATTGTGATTCCTTTAAAATATTATGACTTAAGAAAAAATAAAATGTCCCCTCCCACACAGGCCTCTGAAGATTTACAATGGTGTAATTATATGCACGTGCATCTCGTTATTTTCTTAATGATAGGTTTATATAGTACAGTGTCATCTCTAAACTAAAAGTAAGAGCCATCTTCTCTTACATACGGCATGTAACCCTGTACGTCTGGCATCACATGGAGTGAGTGAAGAAAAATGCCACTCAGACACATGCAGCATAAAGGATGGAGCTTCACAAGAAAGGGGGAGAGATTGTGAGCCACTGGGGAACAGAGAGGGAGCGTGTAAAAGCAGAGAGACTAGTGCACAAGAATGGGACTTTTCACATTTTAAAATGAACTTTTGTGCATCATGTTGAGCCTCTGTTGTGTTCACTTTCCACAAGTATTAAGTGATTGTGTTTTATTGGCAGAAACCTTCACAGAGGACAAATCTCAAAGTGGTGTGTACAAGTATTTGTAGAAAGCCAATTTTAAATTTGCACACTTGAGTAACACCGTCATCCAGTTATGGAACGGGAAATAGCCCCATATGATTTATCTGGCTGCTCACAGCTAAGCAGCCCAGTTTGGGTTTAAAAAAATCTGTGACCAGCCCACAGAGGAAAAACAGTTTTGAAAAGATTAATTTGAATTACAATGGCACCTAGAGGGCACAACTCAGGATCAGGGTTTTACTGCAGTAGGCGCTGGCCAAACAATTATAAAAAGCAAACCTTGTCAAAGAGAGCTCAGTCTCAGATTGTGATCAGATTAAACAGGTGAGAGGATGAACAGAAAAACAACAGTAAAACAAGCCTGGTGTTCATAATTGCAGTCTCAGCTCACTCTCTCCCGTGCAAAAGTTGTTTATTTACATTTGAACAATTAAGATATCAGAGGAGGTTGTGATCTGCTTGCAGATACCAGGGAAGCATAAATGAAAAGGTTAAATTCACAGAAGAAACATAAATGTGAATTATTTGCACAGCTCCAGCGTATCATCCTGAGTATCTGCATGTCTGTCTGACTAGGTCTATGTCTGTCTGCATACACTTGATTGTATAAGGTCTTTTGTTCAAGTATTTCAAAGCATTTAATAGTTATTAGTAATATTATTAACCCCCTTACACAGATGGTAAAACTGAGCCACAGAAAAGTGAAGTAATTTGTGCGCATGAAAAGTCATTTTCAGAATCAAGGCTAGACCCCAGGTATTCCAGTCTGTCTCCCTAAAAACTAGACCATCCTTTATTCAGAGACATTCTACTGCTACTCCTTGGTCTCTCTCCTTTTTCCCAGTAAATGAGCTGTAAAGTTACTGAAGATTACAGTTTGCATAAATATCATGTAAAATACTGACAGTACTGCTGCTGTTAAATCTAATAGTGCAGTTTGGTGCATTGTGTATGTTTATATTTGTATTTATTTATGTGCATGTGTGTTGATAGATAGATGTATATGGTCTGTGGATATTTAAACCACCCTAAAGAAATTGGATGCTTTGCAGGGTGCTAAAAGCTTTTCATTATTGCTAATGTGCACCAGATTAAGGATGTAGTTAGATGAAGTGTATTCATCAGGATGGTATGTTTTTATAAATGGTTTATTCAACATGATTGTATTTTATTGACTGTTGTAGTAATTGAATATTTATTTCTTATAGGACAAGCTTGGCCAATAAAAGATACATGGAGTGCACAACCCATTAGAAGACAAAAAAGACATTGTGCTTAAAGCCCCAAGAGCTAAATAGGTGACGTTTTTAAATAACTCTTCTGAAAACCAACAGGCTTTTTTGCATGTCTCTTATGTACGTGTTTGCTGGAGGAGCATAATGAGTGGATTTCTGTAGGGATCGGTTCTGGTTCTGGTTCTGGTTCTGTTCAACATCTTTATCAATTATTTAAATATTGTCTTAGAGAGAACACTTACAAAGTGTTGTAGATGAAACCGAGCTGGGAGGATTGCATGTGCTTTGGAGGATAGGGTTATAATTCTAAATGATCTGGGCAAACTGGCGAAATGGTCGGAGAAAAATAGGAAGAAATTCAATAAGGACAAATGCAAAGTGTTCCTTCCTAAGTGGAGTAATCAGAGCACTCTGCTTCCCACCGCCACAGAGAAGCAGGGTGAAGCAGGCCACTGGGCCGCTTTGGCTCTTGCCACTCGCATGGTGCCCCCGCTGCTGCTGTACCAGGCCTCCAAAATTTTTCAGGCCGTATTGCTATGGGGAGGATGTAAGGGGGCGGAGCAGAGCAGGGGCAGGGTTGAGGAAGGGGTGAGGCAAGGAGAAACGTTCACTAAGAGGGTTGCCCCAGACCCCACTCCTGGGGCACTGGAGGGGGTTCCCTGGGCCCCCCTGCTAGTCCTCTGGCCCATTGCCCCTCCCACCTGCAGTGTTGGGGGAGCACATGGCCCCTCAGACACCCCTCACACATCACTAGTGAAGGGGTTTGTGTGAGAGAGAGATGTGAAGCTGAAGGAAGGGAGATGGAAAAAATGTCAGTGTTTCAAATGCAGTGTATTTTGTCTGTTTATTATAACACTCGGGGCACATTTCCTGACTATTTTGCTTCTTTGTAAGCTTCACCCCCACATTGCAAGATACAACTCAGAGTGGAAAGGAGAGAAGAAAAAACAGCACACACATAAAAGTAAAACACTTTGAAACCATGAAACTATATTTTGAATAAAGGCAAATGTGTACTTTGTATCGGAAAATTGGAGATTGGATAAATTAAGGAAAGGAGCTGTCTGTTGCTTAATTAGGAGACCATGTAACACGAACCCCCACTATCGCCCCACACCCCACAGAAGATAACTGAACCTGCTGCACATGTAGGGAACTAAGACATTTCTGGGATAATGTGAAGCCAGATCCTGATTGCATTGATGTACATTTGGAGTAATTCAAAAAACATTGTGTGTGATTAAAATTAGTCACTTTCAGTGGGCAAGAACTACACTCAGTAATTTAATATTAGCTATTTTATGTTGGGAACCTATAATTAATTATCATCCACTAAAAAACTCAGCTGCAGTCAATATAGACGTCATTGTTAAAAAATCAGCAGGCACCACGTGGAGTGATTAGGAATCCCTGACTGATATAAGTACAGAGCAGTGCTGCGGATATTACTGTGTTATTATTCTGGGTAAATTCAGAGGCTCAGATTCAGGGGAATGCTCTCTGGTGACCAGTGGCAAGCGTAGTTTACCTGGCTGGATACACCAGGATTATGGTTGATTTACATTTCTGGAACATTCCAAGCAGACAAAGCACCTTAGTGAATGTAGCCTGGGAGTTTTAATGGTGTGATCTTTCAGATTAGTATCCGTATTCAAGATTTGAAAGGGCTCTTTAAGTTAGAATTGGAGGCTCTCTACAAATTGCAGGCATGTAAAACTGCAACCTGAACCCAGCACTGATCCTTTCTCAAATCTATTCAGTGGAGCAATGATGTTTTGAGGATTGCCTTGATCTTAAATGACATTTAGAGGCTCTGATGTATTCTCTTCTTGGCTTCACCCACAGAGACCTTGCACTATTGGTGCTGACTCATACGTGTTTGAACATTATGAGTTGTAGGATTTTTTGAACTTGTGTTCCTCCATCTCACAGCCATGCCAGTTTGGCCGCCTTGATGGTGGGGGGTTTTTTGGGTGTGGTTTTTTTTGGCTGTGTCTGTAAAGCCAGGTGGTATTGAGCACTTGCAGAGGTGAGTGCAGAGCTCAGACTTGGCACCAGCTCTGAGAGTGTTGACTGCCTTAGCCAAACTAGAAAATACCCACCTGTCACAGCTCAGTCACTAAACATTTTTGCTGCTGTAGGCAACTGACTGTTCCGACTTTGTGACAGCTGGCCCTGGCAGTCATGTTTTCAAGCCTTGAATACTCATTAGATACAGATATCTGTCTGCCCTACTCAGCAAAAAATGCTATAGTATGCAGAATGGGCGTAAGGAACAAGGTATGGAATTGTCAGCTTAGGTTTAAAAGATGAATACGGCAGATCCTTAGCTGTAGTAAATCAGCAAATCTCTGAAGAATTAACTTGCTGGGCAGTAGGTAAATAAAGAATGGGAAAGGGAGAGAGGGAAGTGAAGTTGCTTATGCAAGTCTATTCAACATGCCAATGTCAGAACTGAAATTTAAACGCAGGCCAGCTCTACCTTACACAAGAAAGTCGACCTAAGATGCACAACCCCAGCTACGAGAATAGGTGGAGTTGGCTTACTTTAAGTTGAATTTCTGTGGTGGCTCCGCTGCTGGAGGACAATAGGAGACATTCTCCTGTCAATTTCCCTTATTCCTCAGGAGTCCATGGAGTACCGGGGTTGATGGAGGTGCCATAAGTGGTCAATATAGCAGGTCCTTACTAGATCCCTGGTCCCTAGATCCTTACTAAATCAAACCCTGAAAAATCAATCTCCAAGCATTGATCTCGGGGTAAGTGTAGACCTTGCCTCATGTTCTAGTCCTGTGCTTAGACCATAAGGCCATGCTTCTGCTGTTTCTGCGCTCTGACAGGAGATGTTTGTAAAGTAGAGTGGCTATGGCTACAATACAGCTAGGTTTAATTCCCTCCTTATCTCTTCGGGAATTAAAAGTGAGGAGTACGTTAGTTCGCACCAAGGGGTTTGATTCGAACTAACGGGTCCCGGAGCGCACTTCCTGGTTCGAATCAACTGGCGAGCGGAATAGCGCGTGGGCGAGATTATGCTAATGAAGCGCGGGATAGTTAAATCCCCACTTCATTAGGAATTTTGGTCGGCTACATTTGCATCCCTAGTTCGAACTAGGGAGCAAGTGTAGACGTACCCTTTTTTTTCCTAGAGTCATGGTAATTTAGAAGGTATGGGTAGACATTGAACTGACAGGTTATTAAAGGGTTCTTGGATAATTTTCAGATCCTGCCTGATGTGGTGATATTTCTTTGTGACTTGTGTTGCAGCGTCATGACTTGAGATTATAATGTGGATGGCAAATCTATCTAATCTATCCCTCATGTGGCCCACAACATCTGAGTACATGGGTCAAGAAAGCTTACCTTTTTTCCTAATGAACCTAAGTCTTCCCCTACTCCCTTCCCTCCTACACTGCACAAGAACACCTTTTCCCGTGATATCCAGAATCTGGGCTCTAACCCTCGGAATCTTAAATCTCACTCCCACAAACTGAAATGGCCCACATGGACAGCCATCTTATTCTCTGCCCCCTCCTATCACGCTTGCTTTAGGTATTAAGCTATTATTGTGCGAGGTGATAAAACTTTTCTGCGGTCTTGAGGGGAGCATTGTTGGACTTAATAACTGGCTAGATGTGCATATCCCCAGCATCTGTACAATCAGGTACAGAACTGCAGTTTGCTTTAAGTAGCCTGCCCAAGTCATAAGATCATGGATGCATTGAAGACTGGACAACTTCCCACCCGTATGGAATTGGATAAATACTGCTCAGTGGATCTGATGAAATACATGCATAAGGATAGCCAACAATGAGATGGAAAAGAGTGTGGGAGGCAGCAAACCACCTTGTTTGGTGCCATTGGTGACTTGGAAAGGGGTCTGATAGCTCCCCACTTTCCACCACCCTGGCCATCATCCCATCATGGAAAGACCGAATGGCACATGTACGTTTTTCAGAGCATCAAAAAATGAACAAGAAAATCTGGAGTCCTTCATAATTCACAAAGCAAAAAGCTTTAGTTAAGACCCATAAAATTTTGCTCCCTAAGAAATATGTTGCCACAGAATGCTACAACTGATGATCTTACCCGGTACCCATCAAAGGCTGGCTCTCTGCATTTAGAATGCAGTCACACCTTGTAGGAATGACCGAGGCATTAAAATAAGCACTAAGCTAAATGTCTATCAAGCAGTCATGCTTATAGCACTTCTGCATGGTTGTGAGATGTGGACAACATGTTGCCACCATATTAGGAAACCTGATCAGTTCCATGTGCACCGTCTTTGGTCTGTTTGCCATGGTCAAATGGTAGAACAAAATTGGCACTATCTAAATCACTTAATTGTTGTGGGATGTCTGGCATTCAAAGCATGCTCCTGAAAGTTTCACTGCATTGGGCTGCGCACCTCATTCCCATGGCCAACTCGATGGTCAGCTAAAAAAAGGCACCCGGTCACATGGCAGCAAGTACAAACAATATAAAGATGCACTGAAGTCAGACTTGAGTGCTTGTCAAGTTGATCCCAGCAATGGGAAGCAACAGAGAAAGGTGGCATCATGGAAGAGCAAGGTGGCATCAGGTCTCCATTAATTGCTTTGAACAAGGCCCATTTACACTTGTGGACAACATGATGAAAGGATACAATAGCCTGCAATGGACCCAAACAATCCTGTCTATCTCACATGTAACTGCACTTGCTGTTCTTGTGTGTGCCTGACCTTGCATATACACGTTCACCTATAGCAGTTGCTGAATCCTTGTACAGCGGCATTGATGTGAAACTCCATCAAATCATTGTTGGGTGGAAGATTCACTTTCCACAGCAGCCAGTAAATCAGCCTTTTAAGAAATATATTGCCCCTGATTCTCAGAGCCACCACAGCTTCTGCATGTTACTCAAGCAGCACAAAGAGGCCAGACAGCTGATTTAACTGGTCTCCTGAAGATTCTCTCAGTATAGGGGAAATCTCAGGGGGGTACAGAGCCGCATGCCACTTCCTACATAGCAAGAATCCAGGGGGAAAGGAATTGTGCATGTGCCATAACACTTGTGCTTTTTCAGGTACACATGTATGTGTGTGCGCACACATACATGTGAATGGACAGTACAGAGAAGGCCCTGTTCTTCCTGTCATTGTAGCAGAAGGGCCTAATTTAATTTTTAAACTAGTCAGATGCTGTGCAGCAAACAAAAACACTATGTGAACTCTGTTGTTTACCTGAAACAGCCCCTTGCTGGGAGAGCAGCCTGCCAAGGGCTTCTCTGAGCAGCCTTGCTAAAGCAAATTAGTTACCATGGTCACGGAGGGAAGGACCATGGTGCAGCTAAGCAGCAGCTTAAAGGTCTATGGATTAGTAAAGACAATGAGGGAGCAAAAGGACAGGATTTAGTGCTGGGTCTGTGAAAATTGTTCCTCAAAACCGTGGCTAATGTGTGTTGCGAGGGCTAGGGGTTCCGACAGGCTCAATTCAAACATACTATGTAATTAGAGGCAGGTTTTTTAGGAGCAGCGAAGGGTAAAAATCTATAGGCTCCATTCCAGTTAGGAGTGTACTTCAGAGAGCCAAGCAAAGCTGTGCACCTATGTGTTTGCATACATGTACATGCATCTGCATGAGCTGTACCACCTGCAGTGCCTTTGGCCTCAGGAGGAGGTTTATTACTATTTGCCTATGCCACTGGGGTGCTTGGTGGTGTGCCCACCTTGTTACACTGTAAGCCAGAGGTCCGCGAGCTCTCAGGTGTGTCCCTCTAGGGGGTTCAGTGGGGCCTTCCCTCAGGGGAGGGAGCAGGAAGGAAATGCCACCCAGCCCCGCTCTGCCCTTCGCTGCAGCTCAGGCCCCAACCACAGCCTCACTCGCAGCACTGACCATGAGCTACACTCCTGGCCCTGGCTCCTGACCACAGCTACATGCCTCTCCTGACTATGGCCCTTGGAGTTGGGGGGGAGGCAGACAGGTCCTATTACAGGTTTGGGGACCACTACTTCAAGCTCTTTGGGGCAAGGGTTGGCTTCCTCTGTGTTGTAACAGCAACTGTTACACCAGAGTTCCTGATTGGCCTTCTAGGTGCTGCGGTGTAAGTGCTAAATAATAATCACTTCCAGCCAGGGGAGCTTGCTGTCTAGTACACACATGGAGTCAGTCACACCACAGTTCAGCTGATCCATGAATCCTGTGCCTCTGATCCTCATAATTATGGATCTAAAATCCACACTCCCAACTTCTTTAGCTTCTAAAATTTGCCTTGAACCTTTATTTGTCCCGTCGCTGTTCCTCTGTTGAATGAGGCTATACAGAATAGGACTTCAAGGTAGATAGTCATTGCAAGCCTTCTGAGTGGGCTCTGCACTCCTTATCTTCCACTTCCAGATGACTGAGTTAAAGTCAAAAGACCTATATGCCTGTGTAGGATCTGGACTAGGATTTGCTGGCTAGTGCAGGCATCTTAGGCCATGTCAGAGGTGCACTGGGCCCATGTATTGGTATAGGGAGTTTGGTAGGACAAAAAGCTGCAAGTTCATTTGCAGAAGGATTGTTTTTGTTGCTCTGCCTTACAAGCAAGGGATTGTTTGGACTGTTCCTCCCCTATTCCTATCCCCACACTCTGGGGAGAATATGCCGGATGTTAGCAGTAATGATTACCTCCCATTAGCCTGTATCATAGAACCTTGTTCAGGTAAGAAATGAGCCCTTCTGTGTAATGAACTGCATAGGGCCTTTGGGAAATAGAAGGGGAAAATGGCTTATGTCACTCAGGTAACAGGAGCATGTGCTAAGAAAGCATTGTTTTGCAGGAATAATTGGATCGAGCAGCCTGAAGATCATGGAGGGGGATTGTCTGAGCTGCATGAAGTACCTGATGTTTATTTTCAATTTCTTCATATTTGTAAGTATTCTAGGAGTCTGTACTCCTGTGTGCTTTCCCCCTCCTCCACCCACCCCGATTTTCTGTCCGCCTCTAGCTCCCTTGTGTTCCCGTTGGATGAGCTGACGGGACCTGCTGTGCTTTAACAAAATCGCCATGATGTAGAAGATCCCTTCAGCTTTGTTTTAGCCCTGACTGAAATGTACAGCTCCATGTTCAGCTAGCGGCGCAGAGTCGGCCTCAGCTGGCAGTGAGCCTGCGGAGAGGATACAACTGCTAGTCGCTCACAAGGCCTATGCTCAGAGCGCCTAAAGAATAAGGTTCTAGTCCAGGCTGGTGTAATCACTGGCTGTTGAGGGAAGGGTGTAAATCTGGGGACTCGGGCTCTGCACAGAGATGAAGACTTGTCCTTGTGACTTTAGACAGGGACTGTGCAGCTAGTGCAGGTGGCATGGTAAGTCTTAAAGATGCTGCTTGTTGTATGTGTTTCCAGTAATGGAAAAATGCGGGGGGAGAATGGTGGGGACTGCACCGTTCATAAGCAGAGTCTGATGCTTTGCAGAGAATTTTTGCTATGCAGCAAGAGCACAGATGTCGACAGCCTGTGCAGGTCCCTGGGCAAGAGGGATAGGGGGGCAACTCCATGCTCCTGGAAGGAGTGGGGCCTTGGGAACAGTAGCAGCAGCTGTGGCTGGAAGTCCTGGCCACTTCGAATGCCGGGCCCCAGGGCAACTGCTCCCTTTGGCCCCTGGTCACCAGGCCTGAGCAAGAGCACTCGAAGGGAACTTCTGTGGATAAACTCTACTGAAGAATCCAGTCAGTTCTCAGATTAACAACTCTCTTGTCTTTTCCTCTCCTCCTTTCTCTCCCATGGTAGCTGGGAGGGGCCTGCCTGCTGGGCGTTGGGATCTGGGTCATTGTGGATCCGACAGGATTTCGAGAGATAGTGGCTGCCAACCCTCTGCTCTTCACGGGAGCGTACATCATGCTGGCCATGGGAGTAATGCTCTTCCTGCTGGGCTTTCTCGGCTGCTGCGGTGCTGTCCGGGAGAACAAATGCCTTCTGCTTTTTGTAAGTGTCCCAGTGTTTCCGCTGTCATTCTAGTGCCCTCGGAGAGAATGGCTATGGTGTTTTGTTGGGAAGACTGATCATGTGATGCTGGGTCCACGTGGCCATGTCTCAGTGCAGCCTTTTTCCTACTACATGGTTAGTCATGTTTAAAGCACTTTAATATACCGTCAGAAATGCAGACTACTTGCTTCTCCCCTGCACCCAGTCTCTGTGAGACTCTGTTGCCCAACTCTGGCTTAAGTTAAAGGTGCAGGGGGCAGTTTTAACTTGTCCCACTGATACACACAGTCTCTCGAGAACCTTAGGCTCGTGGCAAATCAGCTGTAGTGGAGTCTCACTCTGCCGCACCAGACACCACTCCCATTCCTTATCCTTCCCTGCTACACCCTCTTCCTTCCCATTCCCTTGCTCCAGAAAGGGGAGTACAGGGAATGGGGAGCTGCCTCTGCCAGCTTTGAACCAGCAGAGATTCTCCCTAACTACAAGGGGAATTCCCCCATGGGACTCTCCTGCTGTTTAAGTCCCATGTGACAAACTCCCAAATCTTCAGAGTGGAGGAGGAAGTTCTGGCACCACTGTCACAAAAGGAAATAAGCAGAATTAGCTATGTTCTAAATGAATAAAAACTAGCTCTGGGGTTTGGCCACTGACAGACCTGCAAGGGCGCTGCGTTCCAAAGAGCTGGGCCCCCAGCTGAGAAGGCAAGTCTGCCTGGTCCAGTGCCTTCAGCTCCAGGGAACTTCAGCAAGACTCCCCCAGCCACTCTTAATTGCAGTGACAGGATGTGAGGTAAAAGGCAGACTCTCCAATAAACAGGTCCTAGACTTTGCAGATTGCCCAGAACACCTTAAATTACCTAGCAGAGAACAGGGAGGTTGAACTAGAGTTTTAGGCTGGTGGCACCAGGCCCAGATGAGAGGGCATGTCATTTTACATGAGGGCTACGTCTAGACTGGCATGATTTTCTGGAAATGCTTTTAACGGAAAAGTTTTCCGTTAAAAGCATTTTCGGAAAAAAGCGTTTAGATTGGCATGGATGCTTTTCCGCAAAAGCACTTTTTGCGGAAAAGCGTCCATGGCCAATCTAGATGCACTTTTGCACAAAAAAGCCCTGATCGCCATTTTCACGATCGGTGCTTTCTTGCACAAAACAAATCTCGTTTGCCCGAATGGGAGCAGCATAGTATTTCCGCAAAAAGCACTGATTTCTTACAGTAGGAAGTCAGTGCTTCTGCGGAAATTCAAGCGGCAAGTGTAGACAGCTGGCAAGTTTTTCTGCAAAAGCAGCTGATTTTCCAGAAAAACTGGCCAGTCTAGACCCAGCCATGGGCATTAAGGACACATGCCTATTTTCCAGCAGGTACATTCATATTGTACCAAAGCTGTGGCCACCGAGTACTTTAAACTTCTCTGTGCATTATGGTCTCTCAGAACTTCATGGCAGCCACAACAGAAGAAGACTAATCTTCCCACTTCAAAAGCAATGGCCTCTGTCCCTTGAACTAGAGGAGACTTTCGTTCAGCTTTCAGCAATAATAGGAACCATTGCACAAACCCAACGAGTTCTGATTCCATGTAGGCTGTAGTACGAGCGCACTCACCTATGAGCCAGATTTTTACAACAACACATACTCATGTACATAAAGCCACAAATTGCCTCACTCATTCCCTTCTGATGTAGAACATGAACATTTCCCTTGTTCTGGGCATGGGACTTGTTAAGCAGCCCTTACAAGCATTTTATAAGACAGAAGGGTATACCTTGGACAAGTCATGAACTTATGAGCAAATTTCCTACTGGGCCATTTCAAATGTTGAGTAGAGTATATGTTACAGAGTCCATACAGTTGGTATAAACCTCCCAGTTCAGATTTGGTTGGTGGACTTTCCATTGCATCGCTAGATGGATGCTTGATCCTATATGCATCCTTTTCCTCATCTTACAAGTTCCAGATTTAAAAGCTTCATTGACCAATTTTCCCTTTAATTACAGGGGCAAACCTCAAATTCTGTGTGAGTGTCATGCACTGTTTAGAAACTCTTATCCACTCAAATTACCACTTTTGACTTCTGCCACTAGAACTGATCCTGCAGGGCTTCCTGCTATTATCTCTTACTGGAAAACATTCCCAATTACGTGACTGAATACAGAGCTCTGTCATTTTGTTTCTTTTTTTTATCAAGTACATCCTTCTGTTTCTCTCTTGGAGTTTGTTGGTTGGTTTTAAATCTTGATTTTTCAGTGTGTTTTGCAATCATATCTTAATCAGAGCCTTGCAAAAGGACCAGCAGCTGCTGCCACACATTTTACCAGGACATGAATGTTAAACTGGCTGAAGGAGAAGCTGACACTATCTCTGGAGCTCTTACAGACTCCACTGTGCTGAATTTTCCACTACTACACGACCCTTTTCCAAAGTCCTCTTCTGATGATAGCACATGCTTCCCTTCTGAGAGTCAACTAGTTTGATCCTCCCATCACTCACCATAGGGAAGGCCACGAATAAACCCACTAAAATCAATGCCAGCATGAACTGCATGTAATGGAGCAGAGAATCAGGCCCCCATGTGCATGAGACTAATTGAAATTCAGTCCTTATGATAGTTCACATTTCAGTCATGTGAAGAGAAACCGTGGGGCACTTTTTGGTGTGTGATTGGTGCAATGTCTTTTTAATTTAGGACTGTCCAGGCTGATATTCATGGAGTTGTACCAGGGTTGAATATTGTCCCTAGGGTTTTAGTTATATTGCAGTGCAAGCAATTTCATGGTTATTACTTGTTCTGCTTCTTAAAGATAGTTCTGAGCCCAGCTGCTTTATTTATTTACTTTTATTATTATTTTATTTTACACTGGGAATCTAAGAAATAAGTGGAGTGGAAGTAACATAGCACTATGCAGCAGGGATAGTTAATTGTAACCATGTAGCAAGGAATTCGCATGCTGCCTTGTTCAAGGTAATTCAAGATGTTTTGGTAGCAAAGTCAGCCTGCTGTTTAAGAGAGCGTGGTCACATCCCATATGTCCCCATCCTCTATTATCCCAAGTCCACTGGCAATAGAACACCTGCATAGGTGCGTGTGGTGAGGTCCATATGGTATTAGATGCTTTAATGGCATGTATTTTGTTACAGACCACACCAGAAGAGCTTCAAAAGTTTGAAAGGAGTGAGAAAACCAAGAGACAGGAGAGTAACTCCCTTTAGTTGATGTAAAGGCAAATAATCGGTACATTTATCTCTGTGAGGATGGATTATTCATGCAGAAGTTGGGGAGGGCTCTGGTTTCCTAGGCAGTAGGATCGGGGGAACATGTTTGATAAAATCAAGTCCATGTACGTACAAAGTTGTTCAAAAATTGATAAGTCAGAGCTGCCTGAGTGAGATTTCACACTGATACATAATGCATGACTGGAGCTTTTAGCTCATATGTGAACACAAGGCAAGAGGGTCACAGAGATAAGGGCACATGAAGGAGACGCTCCTGCACAGGGATTCTAGATTTTGGCCACGGTGTTTGCAGAACCTTTTGTTTTACTTGATGCTGTTCTATTTTGGCAAGAAACCTCACTGTTGTAGACAACCTGCTGCAGCAAGGTGGGCTTCTAAGAGCTTCCAGACACCTGAGGCTATCCCAGCATTAGACACACAACGCAGCATGCTTAGGCCTTCTGCACATTAGAAACAAACTAACCTATGGAATGTCCTAGAGCTCTCGTAGCTGCAAATACACAAACTGCTCAGAGAGAATGTTTGTCAAGCACAAGCGTGTAGACATATATCATTCTGACCTTCCTTCAAAACTATCCATCATCAGTCCCTCTTGCCCTCTGCTTCCCTTTCCTCTCCAAAATTGTTACATGGAGGTTTTTGTCCCTTGAGAGAAAATCGCGCTCTCTCTCTCAGATGACAGGGGACTGTATTGCTGAAGTTCCAGCATAGCTAAAATGTCAATTGAGATGCAGTGATAAGTCATTCGAAAAATGTAGAGATGGCAAAAGCAAAAATGAGTATGGAAACACATTACTTTAGTTGGGAAGATTTCTCAGGTGGAATCTCTGGTCAAAATAAAATAGATGCTCAATGCAGAATAATCAATAGCAAGCTGGCTTGAGTGCTCATTGTGGATGTATCATGCAAAACAGGGATTTGACCCTGAGTCTCCCACTAGACTATTGATTGTTTTGGGGTGAGTAGAGTGGTTGTTCTTCTAGTTTTCACACACACACACAAGCCCTATCCTTTTGTTCTGAAGGCAACAAACAAAAAAGAAATCCTCAAAAAAAAATTTCAAAATAGAATTCTTGTTTTCCACTCATTCCCAATAATCACTGCTGACATTTTTACAATGAAAATGGAAAGTCCAGGAAATTTGCATTTTCAAGTAAAAGTCAGTTTGGGGATGATAAATGATGTATTACGATTGCTTAGATAATCGGTGAGCATCTGCATCCATTGATGTGCTGGCCCTGCTTTAGTGTTTGGGTGAAAGTGTTACTGCCAGTAATAAATAAATGAATATGTAATTAATTCAACAACCCTGCTAATCACTGATCGCTTTAGTCTTATCTAAAAAAGCATTGGGAGATCCTTTGATGGATGGTGCTGTCTATTTGCGTAGTATCTTTCACTCTAATCACTGTCACTTTGCCTTTCTCTTGTGAAGTTAAAAATAGAAGTAATTTCTGAATGGGGAAGGGAGCCATTTAGCAGTCTCAGCCAATGAGAACAGATTATGCAGTTAAATGGACCAGTGGGTCAACTAAAAGGCATTATTAGATTAAAAGCCCTGCTCCTCTAATCACTCCTGTTTGAACCCAGGAACTGTTTCTTTTGCTCTCCTTTCAGGAGGAGTAAGGGAGATTGAAAGGCGTAGTGGATATGGTCCTCCAACAGGAGAAATTATCTATAACATTAATAATTGACAGGCACAAATTCTCTTATCTGTTCCAACGAGGGAATTTGAATTCTCCTTCTATTGCTGACAACTGTTGCTAAATCACAGGCAGTGTGTTTCCAGACATCATTCATAAGCGACTGTCTAGGGATCAGAAAAAACCTTCTCACCCATAGACCTTCCTGCTGTTTCAGAAAGTCCCTCAGTTCTCCACTGGCACAGAAAAAAATTTCAGGTGTCGCTTGAGCTCATTTTTATTGCTTATTTCAGCCACCTGCATCAGTAACTTGTTCCATATGTTTATCACCATCTGTATCATGCAGTCTTGCCTGTGTCCCCCATTTAGTCTTCATTTCCTCATATCAGGCCAAATCCTAAATCATTTACTGAGTTCTCACTGCAGTATTGAGACCATCTTGAGGGCCTTAAATCTTGAAGGAATTATATTTATACTACCTTTAAGGATGGAGTCGTGTTGTAATGAGAATCAGGCCTTCAAGTTGTTGAATCCTGATCTCATTCACTGTTGTGTTTGAGAGCTATGACTTTGGGATTTAGCCCACTTAGGACTGGTCTAACTACAATACTTGTACCACTTTATATCACTTTAGAAATCAATGTAGTTAAAGTTAAATCCTTTAGTGTGGAAATAGATCTAGCACTACAAAGATGCCCATGTCAATCCATGTATGTACCCCTACGTATAGAAGAATAAGCTATACTTGTAACACCTTCCTAGTCATTGGTACTAAGACATTGTACTGCTTTACTGACATCAGTTCCTAAGACAATACAGTTTCTGTGGTAAAAATTCTGTGTGTAGATGAGCCCTAGGCTGTTCCCTAGTTTTTGAACGCTTTCACTGGCACGCGCATGCATGCACACACACATTCATTCTCCATTTTCTCCATTGCTTTGGTGATTCTGAAGACCTGTGTTCTTACCGTGTGTGGCAAATATCTAATGGCCGTCTGCTTCTTTTCTTTTTCTTCCAGTTCTTCATGTTTATTTTGTTAATCTTCCTGGCAGAGCTCTCAGCTGCAATCCTGGCTTTTATCTTCAGAGAAAATGTAAGTACTATGTTGTGGACACGATGGAAACATTCTGTGCTCCTGCAGGGTTGTGCCCAGGTGGAGATCATCTTTAGTTAGTGGTTTGTGTGTTACCTAAGTGAGCGTTTGTTTACAATATCACCCAAACAGACTCATTGTTACCCTCAATCTGAAGAATTTCCAGCTAGCCGGTGAATATAAACTAAACTAACTTGGCATGGGTAGGTAGTTCATATGCACAGGAGATATGCTGTGGGATACAAAGGAGAACTGCTGAATTATTCAGAGTCTAGAATTATGTGCAGGCATATCACTGAATTAAAGTTCATTTTGAGCGTAGGCATCAAAGTTTGAATTTCACTTCAGAGTTGTATGCTTACTACTGAGCTGAGAGGTAACCCTTCCTCAGATGCCACCTAAGGGAACAAGTAGAGCCCTGGATTTGGTGGTTATCTTTTCTCTTCCCTGTTGTCACCATCTTGGACTCCACTCTCAGGGGGGCAAGAACCCAAATAAACACACCAACTAAAAAGTGGGGGGGAGCATTGGTTGAGAATTTGGAGTGGGTGGGAGTAGAGTTGAGAGTGGGAGTCCATCAAACTGCACTGTTGTTAGCCATCTTAGAAGAATTAAATTGTTTTAATATTTGTACCATGAAATGTTTTAATTGTGGGTTTCACCTATCATGGCAGGTGGGCACCATAAAATCCAAGTAAACAAATCCTAAACAGAACTAAGTCTGACTGTCTAAGAACTGCTGCTGCAGTATGTACTCCAGAAAATGGAGGGGGTGCGATTCTCGCATGTTCAGATATCTAATCCATAATTTGGAAAGAATCGTCTTATCTAGCCCTCTTTATCAGAAAGATAAAGCATCAAGTTGGGCATGGTCTCCAAGGAATGTTGTGAGCATTAATTAGATAATGTCCTTGCACCCCTTTGAAAATGTAAAAGTACTATATAAAAGTTTGGGTGGTGGTTATAAAAGAAAACAGGGAGCCTAGGATGTAAGTAAAGGGTCCCTAGATCTAGAAGGTTTTCAGACCCCATGGTTGGTAATCACAGTGGTATAGTATGTGCATGGAGGATTTTGAATTGATTAATAGAAAACCCCAAATCCTCTCACTAGGCTTTATGTTGTGAATATTCCTTGCAAAAAAGAAAGTCTAGATTATCTAGCAAACCAGGTAGTCATCATAGAATGAAGAACTTTACAATGAAGTCATGTTAAGGCTGAAAATACCTTTCTTTTCTGGTACATCATGTGCTAATATGTATATTAACCCCACCCTTTCAGATTCTTTATCCACACTGCTAACCTCTTTTACACACCCTCCTCATATCTCATCTTTGAACTTCTTGTGGCCTTTCTGATGCTCACCTTTCCCCCCCTGCCCCAACTCCTCCATAACACTGCTGGTAAGATCATCTTCTTGGCTCATTCTCTTCTGCCCAAGTTGCTCCACTAGCTCCCCTGCTCCACCACATCCCATGTACATTTATGGTCCTTAACGCTAAAGCCTGGTCTACAATACCTAGTTGGACATAAGTTGCCTTACACTGACCTATTTGTGCATGTGTGTCTACACTCAGATTTGTTTGTGGCACCTTTACGGTGATGCAATAACACCATCTCCACAAACTGAGTAGAGCCATGGTTGTCCTACTGAGGTTGACGCAGTGAAGGGTAGACGCTGTGTGTAATCTGGACCTGAACAGCTGTCCCACAAAGTCCAATAGTAACCATTCTGGTCACAGTTGTGACTTCCATTGCTCAGGGACCACAGAAACCACAAGCTGCCTCTCTCCTTTTAAAAACCCCATTTTGAAATGTCTTTTCCTGATTGCCCAACTTGATGAGCATGCCTAGCAGCTCTCCATCTTTGCCTGCTCCAGAGGCTCTCCTGGGCCATGAGTAGAAGAGGTTGTGCAGATACAGTGACAGAAGAAACATGTGGGAAACCTGAACAGCTTCAAAAAGATTGCACAGGAGATGCAGGTGAAAGGGAACAGCCGGCATCAGAAAACAGTGCCCTGTGAAAGTGAAGGAACTGCAGCCGGCACAACCCAAGGCTGTGGAAACCAACAATCAGTCTGGTACTGAGCTGCAGACCTGCTTTTTTTTTTACAAGAAACTGCTTACCAGACTTGGCGGGTACACCTCCAGCCCCCTGCAGACCACCATGGATATCTCTGTAGAGTCTGAGACTCAGGACTGTGCTGTGAACAGTGAGAAAAGAGGGACATGCGACAGGGAAACAAGGGGTCCAGCTATGATACTAGCCAGGATCTTTTTGAGACTCCTGAACAGTCCTGCTAGTCCTACCAGTTGAGCACAGAGGAGCCTGATCCAGGGGAAGGAACCTCTGGTAAGTGGGTACATATATTTACCTTACAAGATTTAAATGTTAAGATGACACCTGGTCCAACTCCAAGTTAGCAGGATGTAAAAGTCAACTTTTCATCATCATCCAAAAAGGAACAGCTGTATAGCATAGGGAGAGCTGTGATTGTTCCCCCATAGGTTTATGGGGGAGGGGATGCCATGCAGAGAGTTTTGTTTATTCACAAAGGGATGTCCCTTATATCCCCCTGAGAGATTTTTATGAAACTGTCATGGAGATATTGTACAGTTCTCTTCTGATAGTATCCAGGGATGGCGTCCTTATTGCTTTCTCCATAATAAGAGACTTTACCATGCCATTTTGCAATGAGTTTGGCAGGCACCATTGCAGTACACAGCATACAGGTCTAGACAGCTTCAGGATGCCAGCCTTGCTTTGCTACATTTCAGCCCCGACCTCCCAGGCGTTGTGTTTTTTTGCTTTGTTTTTTTGGCTTGACAAATTTTTCCCCGGCATTTTTTGTTTTGGTTTTGTTTTGTGCTTGACAAAACCATCTGACAACCCTAGTACCGGCACCCTTTTTTTTTTTTAATGTATTTAACCAAAAAAGCACTGCTTGTACCTAATAGGGTTGTATACAGTAATGAGGTGGACTAGGCCCAGAGACCCCCTGCTGGAGGCCTCTGAGACTTACCACATCCGATCCCAGAGAAGTCTTCCAGGCTGCCTAGAGTGGCTGCAAGGGAAGTAGATAATTGCAGCATGGTTGCTCCCTGCAGCCTATCAGCAGGGCCATATAAAAGGAGCTGTAGTACTTGAGAGAAACAGACCAACTGGCTGGAGCTCCTGACTGGCTGCTGAGACTGAGTAAAAGACGCAGCCTGACAGTAAGGGTGAAGCATTCATGACAGTGCTGGGGAAGTGGCCCAGAGAACTGTAGCAGCAGAGTGGCTAGTTAAAGGGATGCATCAGCATATGGCTGCTATTCCTAGGATCCTTGAGATAGGAACCAGAGTAGTGATAGGCTCAGGTCCCTGTACCCCACCAGCCAACAGGGAAGTGGCTTAAGCCCCGAGGAAGGGAATAGAGAGGGTCTGGAGAACAGGATGAATAGTGAACCGTGAAACACTCTCAGAAAGGGATCAGATGGTTTAGTGGTCCAGCTGCAGAGTTGGGACCAGAAAGGCCCAGAGTGAGTGATGTCAGCGTCTCCAGGTGGGAAGCCTTGTGGGTACAACCCAACCCAAGGGTCAGAACTTATTAAAGACTGAGCCTGGCAAGGCCAACAGAGATATCAACTGGTACTGGGGTAGGCCCCTGTTAGACTGTATACCCTGAAGAGATTTGTTCTGTTTTTTTTTGTTTGTTTGTTTTTTAACCTGCAGACTATATGTGAGACTTGGCTGGACGTCTGAGTTGTTGAGGTTGCTGCAGACTAAGAGAGTGCAGGCACACACACCTGGCCAGGGACATTCACAAATGGTGGATGTCATCCCTTCACAACATGTCTAATTTAAAACCCTTATGGGAATAAGGGAAGGGAGCTCTAAACATTCTTTCATTTTCTATTGTTACTGTAAAAACGGGTTGAACCTGTCTAGTCCAGCACTCTGGTCTGAAAACATGCGTGGTGAGGCATGTTAATTAGCCAGTTACCTGCTTACTGTGGTGTGGCAAAGTTTCCCGCTGCCCCATAAAGTTTGTTTTTAGCCACCAGTCCTGGCTCTCAGTGTTCTGTGCTGTTATTTAGCTCAAAATTAACTCAAAAGAGACCAACAAGCAGTGGAAGTGTTGGTAATTCAGCTAAGCACAAGCATGATATTTATGCTTTATCTACTTATTTTCTTGTACCACTACACTAAAATTGGGTCACAACACTAACACTTTTTTAGGAAGAGAACTGATAAGCCCTGGCTAGGTGTTCAGTACAGTCATATATTGTTAAGCAGCTATTGTTCCATTGATTTGCCTCGGTGAAATAAAAATAGAGACCTTCTCTCTACAATATTGGCCACCTGTGGTTTGGCAAATTCTCTGCTTTGGTTCAGGTCCCGAGGCAACTGGACTAGAGAGGTTCAACCTGTACAATGATAGATCTGTCTGTGCAGTTGCCTGATCCTGTTGAGTCCGAGAAAGAAGAGGACGAGTGTGGACGTGTTCAGCAAGATCCTGCAAGCCAGTGCTGCACTGGACGATGAACAGGGTGCCTGGAGGATCAATATTGCAGACAGTATGGAAAAGGAAAGAGCAAACGACAGTGCTCCCACATGAAAAGGAGAGGAAGATGTACTAGGATATAAATTGACTTCTAAGGCAGCAAATGCAAAAGCAGCCGGATCTTGTTGACCCACCAGTCCAGCAATTACTGTCTCCCTTTGCAATCACTGGAGAGCTCTGTTCTAGCACCTCGTTATATTCCCTTCCGTCCCCCTCAACATTCCACATGGCAATAGGGGCTTTATTCCCACCGCTCCAATTATATTCCCTTCCGTCCCTAGACAATAGGGGCTTTATTCCCACCGCTCCAAGATGGGAGGAAGTAAATCATTGGCCTGTGTGAGCCACAGTTGGTATTTATGTTGCCAAAATGGACTGACATGGCCAGGAACATCATTTACTTTTTTAATTGTAAAGTTCCATTCCATTTGTTTATTTTTTTATTTGTTTTGTGCT